CCTATGCTTGGAAAAGATTACATATAATTTGGATCGAGGTATCAATCATCGAATCCTAGTTAATTTCTTTCTTTATTTTTTCTTATTAAAGGGATTTGTAAAAAGATATGCTAAGGTAAAGCTGAAAATTTTTGCAATATTTTTAAAGAAAAAATTAAAAAAATATTTTTGCTTCATGAACTGAAATTTTTACGATAGGTTTTTACACAATAAACAAGTACAAAAAAAGAAAGAACTAGGGTATTAGAAACTCGGCTCGAACTACCAATATTTAGTGACTTTTCCGATTGATCATAAGACCTTTTGAAATTAGGCTGAACAATATATAAGAAATAGAAGATACAGCAACGTAAAAACAAAAGTAGGCTGAATTAGAGATTTACAGTTTTATGAATAGTTAAACTACCTGTATGCCATTATGAAATATTAAGAAAGTAGCATAAAAGCATCAGCAAGAAGGCATTGGCCAAAAAATCTTGTAATCTGAATGTGAACATTAATCAATTCTCTATTAATTTCAATACTGCTGAAAAATTAAATGAATTCTATTATAAATCACATGAACTTGTTGCATTATAAATTCAATAGTTAGAAATATTATTAACGTGATTTGCGACTATCTTTGTTCAATAATTTCAAAAATAAATTTTACAAACTAAGTCAGCCTGAAACTAGGTTATAAAATAAGCTGCATGTGAAGATAAGCTTTACAGGTGTTAGAATATTTCTCTTAACTAGAGTTTAGCAAGAATTTGTAAAATTATCATTTAATATAAATTGGCAATAAATACAATACAAATATAAAATTCTACATGCATGGAAAACATGAATGCAGTGCAACAATATGTGAAAGGAATGGATAAAAAGGGAATCAAAATCCTAAGATATGAAATAAGAGTTTTCGATTTTTTAATTATGAAAATTCTGCAGATCTCATATTATCAATTATTAATTAAATGGTATCAGAAATTAAATGTAGCCAAAGTAATCAGGTAGAGTAACTGGGAAAACAGAATAAATTTTAAACGTTTCTAGTATTAAAATATGGACTTTTTAAGGAAATTAATAAGCTTAAAAGAACTTCAATGACTAAAAATGGAAGCTTAATACAGCAATATGTTGCAAATAATATTAGTCTGAATTTAGAACCTCTTAAGAAATCCAATTTTAGATTCAATAAAGAGAATTGTTTAAATTAAATAGAATTGTTTACCTAAATGGTAAATTTGAAAGTTAAAACTAACCCCTCTATAAGATTCTTATATTTCTAAACAAGAAAACTTATTTAAGGGGGCGCTACAAATCCGATATTTGATAGGTTGATTATGTATCAGTTTTGCGTATGCATTACTCTATCATCTATCAATTTTATTCTTCAAAAACTGATATATCAGCGACTAAAATCTACAACTACAATCTACTTTTTAATTCTTACAGAGAATAAAAAAGATCTGGCTCATCATTCTTTTAAGCATCATAAAACTTTTAAATGAGTGTAAAAGAAATTCATTTTTACTTACACGCCAGACTGTAAATTAATATTTGTTTCGTATGCTCAATTTTTTACAATATTGATAAACGAAAATAGAGGCTTGCAGTCTCAATAAAAATGCTCCATTAATGGCGATAAATGATTTTTTGTAGCACCCAGTCTTCTTGGGAATTCAAGTTCTTAGAAAGAGGGGACAGTAAAAAGTCGCGCAGTTCGTCTATTAGATAAGAGGGGGGGGGAAGGATCCTCAATCAAATTTCGCGCAGTTCGTACCCTACCCTGTAGCATGGTTTATAACTACAGCCTGAATGGCTGCTTTGGAATAGACTAGAATAACTGCTTTAGAGAAACAATCAATCTTAAGCTTGGTATTTTCCAGAGCTAGTGAGATTGCAAGAATCTCTGCATCAAAATTCGACATGAAGTGTCCCACAGGAGTACATTGGGAAATGAGTTTACTGTATACACCAGCCCCAGTGTTATCTTGTATTTTAGAGACATCAGTCTATAGTCTAGTCCTTTCATGTTGAGGGTATTGTTCATGTAACATATATAATGTGTTTGCTTTTAATATTACATCAGGAATGTTTTTCTTTTTCGAGTCATTAATATCTAGATGATTTTGATATCATTATATTCAAGGGAGTTAACCATATCCTTGTTAGATGTATACATTAATATTATTCAGGAGTCTGTTAAATCATAAAAGTATGTGTATATTAATATAAGATGAGCACGCATATCAATAAGTCATATATTAAAAAAAATAGGTATCTCTGTTAAGTTCGAAAGGAAGTGGAACAGGCGGTATAGTGATTTTATTACAGCATCGTTTGTAAGTCATTTGCGGTTACAACAAATGCTGGTTGTTTTCTCACAAAGTCACCTTCATGTAACAGGCTTACGGTTCTATTTTTGTTTTATTCATGTTTAAGGCCATCTGATGAAGTTCAGTTAGTTCAAGTTTCCCCAAATGCAATTTGCATTTTATTTTCTCAATAGATATACATCAGGGTAAAAGGGAGTTCCCTACCCTTTATCACGTATAATAAGATGGTATGGTCCAGTAATCATTCAAAGAATTTAAGCAATAGCCAAAAAAGGATGTAACAAAATAATGTGATAGTAATATTAGCAGTAGTTAAAGCCCTTTTCTGTTTTCTTTTCAGCAATGAAACCCCTGAAGAAAGGTACGAAGGAAAACAAATCTGAGATTAGAAGAATTTTTAACAATAACAGAAAACACTTCTTCTGGAAAATTCATTCATTATATCTTTATTGTGGTAACTGCGTGTTCCATTTGCCTCCTTTTTCTAGAATTATCAAAATGTTCTTAAAGATTGTTAAAAATTTTGAAATTCGACATTTTGAGGAAATTATGATTTAAGTTTTCATAAATTAATTGCTTTATTTTCACTGCATGTGCGTGTCCAATGTTAAATTAACATAATGCTAATTTAATTTTGTTGTTAATTTAACATTTTCTAAGGTTTAAATCCATATTTCAAATGTAGGAAATTTCACTTCTAATTTTTAATAGTAAAATTTTAGTTATTTTGAATGAAAATTCATTCAGAATTCCTCCACCAATTTCATATTCAGTTTTCCGTTAGTTCCACTGTTAAAATTTTCAATCAGAACTAAGATTTTTCGTCTGTGTTTAGAAATATTGTGGTAGAGTCCTAAATCTAAACTATGCTGGAGGTTTCGCAACGCCATTTTGATGACAATGTATAAGTGCATTCGTCTGAAGTCGAGCACCAGATTTCTACCTTGTATATGCGATAAAAGCAAAATTTAGAAGTACTGAAGTGACTACCGAGACATAGAAACGTGAAATACTGATGGCCTAGATATTTTATTCTTAGAACGTAGAATTCGTAATGACTAAGAAACTTGGCAGTCGAGGTGGTTTTAATTCCATTTTTATTTAAATTGACATTTAGAGCCACAGTTCACTTGACACTCTAATTATGCCTATTTTCAGAACATTTACATTTTTGAATACAATTGCGACAGGGACAGAGTACAGCGAAATGACGTCCAAGCAACAACAGAGTTACAAGCGAAGTAAGCATTTATCTAAGATGGCAGCTCACCAAAAAGGAAGGTTTTGGTTTATAAAGGTTTCAGTTCAAATTATAAAGCTGATTTATATATTTTTATTCATTTTATTTAAAATCGTACTGTTGCGTACGTATGGGTTCGCAATAGATAGAATGCACACATATATGATGCTTAAACTCATTTTTTAAAATCATATTGTTGCATACGTACGGGTTCGCAATAGATTGAATGCACACAGGTCCGATGATAGTTTAAATAAAATTCTTTCGTCTATATAAGCATTTCAGAGACCTGGAATGTTTCACAAAAATAGACGTACAACTCTTCGCAAATCAAAGAGTATAGTCAGTAGTTACATTTCAAACTACTATGAACGATAAAGGCAACGGAATGCAAAACGCAGCTAAAGAAGTGAAGCTATACTCGGAAATCAGGCTGAACTAACAGCTAACAACAACAATTGAGAGCAGATCTCCCAACAGCCTTATATAGTATCCACCCGACCGTCGAGATATTTCTAGTACTTTCTGCTTCTTGAAATTACTGGAAGGCAATATGAGGTCGAATTACGATTACAGCTAATATAGTGATCAATTACATTAATTCAATTACAATACTTAATACGGTAATACAGGGACCGGACCAAAATGTCACCAAGTGTGGAACCTTTTGACAATTTCTCACCAAATTCAGCTTCGAAAATTAGTTACCAAAACCACTGCCAGCTCGCCAAATTACCGAGATACCCATTTACTCTGTTAAATACTTTGATACTTCGGGTGAATATACTGGCACACAGCAGGGGAAAAGGTCCTGCTCTTGCCAGTTCATGATTGAGTTCCGAATTGGGCGTGACTCGTATTGAAATCGTCGAATAGAATTTTCCAGCTGAGAACAGATATCAGGGGAGAAAAGTACAGATGCGCATTGTATCTGGGTTGAACACATGCGTGTGCACTGAATATGCACTATGACCCCTTAAAATGTTCACAAAATTAAGGTCCATGTGTAGGAATTTAGAATGAGTTACTCCGAATGAATGAACAATGTTAAACGGACAGAAAAATCGACATTATATTACACAGAAAAATCGATAACTCCATATATAATTGCACTAAAATCATCTATCTATGTGCAAACTATCTCTGATACGAAATCTCTTATACGAAATATCTCTGATACGAAATTGTGAGAAAATTAAGTACCGTTAATTAAGCTTAATATTACAAAAAGAAATTGCCTTAAACAAAACAAATTTGAAACAAAAGAAAAAAAAATCCTTCCTTGTATTTAATATTTTATGTAAATTCACTTTACATAAATAGGCGGTAAGAACAGTGTAATGGGGTATATTGATTTTTGAAGGTATTTTGAATATATCGTTGCTATATTTTATACTTAAATTATTCGTCTAATTACTTGAAAATGTGTCTTCTTACAGGAGAACCGCAATTTCTGCCGTAGTGTAAGTGTAACAAGTAATTCCAGCGCCAGTTCAGACTCACGTGTCAAGATGGTCAGTAATTCTGCTTCTCAAGCGCTTGTGTCTGGTGGCCTCGTGCAGAGGGGTCTGTCTGTAGACGAACCTTTATCTGAAGAGGACCTTAGCTTGAGAGAATCTTCTCCCCAAGAAATGAAATTCGAACAAAAAAGAATTAGTTCTTCTTCAAAGATGAAAGTCAGCACGTCGGATGGGTATACAGCCGAGAAAATGGCCGCTTCAAATCAAGAGAGGAAGAGGTTGCAAACAGGAAGCGTGAGTTATGAAGAGAAGTCTGCCTCGGCAGCCATGAAACAGAAACTGGAAACAGAAAGTTTTTCAGCCGAAAAGGTAATTTCATGCTTGAGATATTAATTTTACACTAATGCGGATAGAAAAGATATTTTACACTAATGAGGATAGAAAGGATATTTTAAATGCGGATAAAAAAGATATTTTAAATGCAGATAGAAAAGATATTTTACACTAATGAGGAGGCTGTTCGCATATTTTTTAGATGATTTTTATTGTATTTACAGAAATATTTTACCTAAACTTTTTGTATTTTAAATATTCGGTCCTTATTTTTCACTATCTTTCTACACCATAACTTCCCAAGACAAATAAAGCTTTCTATAGTAGCGGAAGAGGTATTTTATCCTATTCCTCCTAAACAGCTTTCCAAAGTCCAAGGAGGGTTGTAGGTCGAATTATGGACAATCGGCTTTTTAAAAGTCCAAAACCGCAAAAATCCGTCATTGATTGCATCAGGAGATTTAGTACGGATGTGAGTGAAGGGTATGGCTTTGGTACACCTTTCTTGTTCCATTTCTTCCAAGAAATTAACAGTGGATTTTGACGTGCGGCTACTTGCTTTATCTTGATGCAGTTCTACTGATTGATTGCACAATGTGTAAATAGAAATATTTCATATTTGGAAATTGGACATAAAATATATTCCTGTTAATATGTGGAGTTGACCTTAGCAGTTTTCTTCATTGTCTTTAATTTTTATTTGTCGTTATACCAAAAACCAACAACGGTAATAAATCTCTTTGAAAATTTTTCTTTAGATTCTTTGAACCATAGTCTAAGACTTTTTTATTCTCTTTGATGATAATAAATGAATTTCGTTTTATTGCAGTCATTTAAATATACCCAATATTCATCTATTGTGACAGCAACTTTCCATTTTTATCCGAATAATTGTTTCTCATACAAACTTCTGCAGCACGTTCTGCTTTCGGTGATATGTTGTGGAGAAAGATAATGCTCATTATGTTTTTTCGCCTTTTTAAGATTCAAATAAATTAATCACTTTGTTTACAGTTGACAAATGAGCATTAATCACTTTGTTTACGATTGACAAATCAGCGTTAATCACTTTGTTTTCAATATTTATAGATTGAATAATCATTAAAATGCTCAGCATTTTAATGATTATGCAACTGTCGTTTGATTTCGAAGATATTCTTTTAATAGTATAGTTCTTACCTTTGCAACCATTCGAAACATTCCGCTTTTTCCTTGGATATGTATTTTGAACAAATTTTCTCCTTGAAGCCACACTTTGACGCTTTATCCTTTCTTTTTGACAGTATTACTTATGTTTGCTTTAGCCACAGAAAAATCATGGCTTTCACGGTATTTTTTAATAACTAAATACGAATAATTTTTTTCGGAAAGAGTGCAGACATAGCTTTCTGTCTACTGCTACTTTAAGACAGGCATTTTTCATGAAAACGAAATTGTGCTAAATTGGCTACTCAAAAAAAAACCTCATAAAACTTTACATTATGCAAATTGACTATTCGAAAAACCAAATTGGTCTAAAACCATTATATTCAAATCTAAAATTCAAATGCAATTACAAATAAAGAGCAAAACAAATAAACTTTAAACCAAATAGTCATTTAAACAACACTCCTCGCCCACCAAAAAATTCTTAGCCTATTATTATGTTTCTTTTTGGATACATATATATATATATATATATATATATATATATTTAAAAAATTATTGTAATTATATAATACCTGTAAAAAAAATACCAAACTGGCCAAAACAAATTTTTTACAAACTGTAAAAAATATCGTCTGCATTTGGAAATTACTACTTTTTTAGCAAAATATATTAACATGACAAAAAGCTAAAAATTAACGGAAGTTATGTTAGAAATTTAAAATATTTCAGTTTAAATTCATTTTTAAGGGTACTAAAAGCATTCGAAATATTCAAAATACCCTTGGTATAAAGCGTTTAACTTCTTTTGATGTTATTAAAATGGCGGGAACTACGTGGAAATGTTCAATATGCTTTTGAAGTCTGTAACTCACCCCAAGATAACATGAAAGGAATCGGATATTAATCATGCCAAAAATCAAGCAAAACCTAAAAATTAGTGTTGTAAAACTTGCAGGAAATTTAAAAGAGAAGTTTTCAATGAAAGTTAACCCTGAAGCCCTTTTTAGTCATGAAAGCAAATGGATACTAAGGGCAATCAGCAAGGAAATTCTTCGTCAACAATAAAACAAGGAAAATACGCTTGGCCTTCGAAAAATCCACGATAAGCAAATATTTATCATATTGGTACGTTACATTTGCAAACGACTCAGCATTTAATACATTTGGGTTCGATGTTCGATTTATTATAGAGCGAAACTCCAATGAAGGCCTGAATACGAAAATCTATTGTTAAGCGCGGGGGTGGAAACGTAATAATTTGGGATATCTCGCAGCTTCTAGAATGAGAAACTGTTTTTATAAAAAAATAAGACGCATCCGTATAAATCTATAAATATTCTTAAAGAAAACATGAAAACATCTGCAAGAAAATTTGGTATATAAAATACATTCGAGTTTTATCAGCATTACAGTTCTAAACATACAGCTCTAAATGTGGATATTGTACAACTGTCCTGAAGTGATAAAAATTGCTCCATATTTTCGGACTTAAATCCTACAATACGTGTATACAATGAGCTGAAGAAGAATAAGGAAACATATTTCTTCGAAAGCTGTACTAAAAGCAGTTCTTATGGAAGAGTGGAGCAAAATGGATTATTCTTATGGGAAGAAATTAGTTGAATCCATGCAAAGCGCATGAAAAATGTAATTTTAGCTGTCGAATATCCAATGAAATATTCAGTACTCCGTATTTTCATATTTTTATTAAATATAAACTGGTTGCTCAAAGTGCCCGAATACTAATGTGAGTTAATTTTCAGAACTTTTTACCAAAAACGTATTGATTTTCCCCCCTCCCCAAAACAAGCAGTTTTAAGAAAAAGGATCAACAGTCTATGTGAAAGAAAAAAATCACTTCAGTAGTATACAGTAACTGGTGTCTGCAAATAAAAGTGAAAACACAAGTGTCTGAAAAACCAATATGAGCCATTGTATGTCTTAGTATCCTCTTACATCCTCTTCATAGCTGTTTTGGTAAGCAATATGCTGGCATCTATGTACATAGAGGGCACGGCCCGCATTTTGCTAAAAGTCCATTCATTTTTTTAAAAGCTGCATTCAAGTTTAGTGGAGATCGCAATAGAGTAATGAATTATAAGTGCGATAAAAGCAAAGTTTACATGTAATACAGTGTCGAAGAATAGTAGAAAATGTAGAGGTTTTGATTGTCATTTGATCGAACATGGTGTCTGCTTTTTAAATGTTTAGATAAAGGAGAAATTATTTAATTGAATAGCAATAGAAAATTGATAATTCTTTCGAATGTGTGAGTTTTTTCTGTATATACAAAAAATTCTTGAAATGAAGGAAAAAACAAAAATCTTTAAAAAAGAAAAAAATAAATTTGAAAGGATTCAGATTTTTACGTCGCATCAAAGGGTTTGCTAATATGCTTTGGTTGAGTATCGCAAGTGACTAATCTGCTCTTGAACTCACTCCTGCTAACACTATTTTTAGTCCAAAAGGGGCAATTCGCCCAGAAGAACTCTTGATTTCGTTTTGGCAATTTGCTTTGATTCACTACAAACGTTGTTTCACTTTTCAAATTGTTGCCACGAAATATTATCGTCCTCTATTATATTTAAAGAAATTAAATAATGAAGATTCTGCATAAATGTAATATTTGTTTCTCGCATTGTGATAAAACAATGCTACCTAGAGCCATCAAATTTTGAATAACGTAATCCTTCTGCGTATAAGGGCCTCTGGAAGCCCAAGTTTAAAATTTGAAATTTGTTTTATTATCGATTTCATATTTTGTAAAACTTTAACAAATTTTTGATTAACAAACGCAAGGATTTGAAAGCGAGCAATGACAACGTTGTACAGCAAAAAACATTTTTATCTCCAACGCGCGAGACTGTGTATCGGAAATTCTAAAGATATGCTCATTTTAAAATTATTTTGCGATATTGCTCTTGAACTGAATTTTATGGTTTAAGTGCAAAGAACATGATATATAATAAATAAAGGTAACACACAAAATGTTAAAAAAACGCCCTGTTGTACATAACTTAAAATCTGAAACCTTTCAGATTTTTTATTTATTTATTTTTATTATTAATCATCGCTTTCTCCGCACTTACGCCACATAAAGTTCAACAGAAAAATCAGAAAAATTTATAGCAGCATATGTTTAGAATTCCCGATACAGTATCAAGTGTTGTCATATATTTTTCTGCTTTTTTCAGTCTTTTCTCAGTTTATCATATCAATGCTGAATTTTCATTGTAAAATGACTCGCAAAACAATTTTTTTATTATTATTAACTTTTTGTGTATTTAACTTTATTTACGTCATATTTCCCTTATTTAGAATAACATGTATCATTGTTTAGATGGATCTGGTTGTAATTTGTGATTTGACAACTTGAATTTTCAGGACTTAATATTTGTTCGTGAACATTTATCAGAAAGATGTTCAAATCAGATGGTCATTGCGAGAAATAAAGCTGACCATTGTTTAATTAATTTATTGATTAAAGTAACTTAAGCTGAATTATGTTTGGTGATTTTTATATCTTTAAACGTATAACCTTCGTACAACAGGTAGCTGCAGTACGGCAGGACCAAGTGCAACTGAAAACAGCTGAATCTGTACAACAGCAGCAAAGGACAGCTGTAGCTGCATCTATGAAACTTTCCACAGATGAATTCACTGCTGAGAAAGTAGCTATGGCCAAACAGGAAGAGAGACACATGTTCTCGCAGGGTGTGGTACAAGCTGAAAAGAATATGTCTGCATCATCATCAGCCAAAATGACGTTCACGACAAAAGGTAAATAAATATATCTTTGTTGAGAATCTTAATTGTATTTCTGTGACAAAACTTTTAAGTTTAGCCTCTAAGTTTGACGAAAATCGTTATGTGGTGGTGGTAATTAAGTTACTTGTAATGAAGGTAATTAAGTTATACTTTAAATGGAAGTTTGGTCTGAATTTAACTAATTTTATCTTTGTGCTCTTGTTTACAGTTAATATTATTTTATCAGAAATACAGTCCTTTATTATATCCTTCACTTCAGTCACTATCGTTTCTGAGTAATTTGATGCACTGTATCCAAATTATTCATTTGTAGTATATACTTAAATTTATTATTTATTCTATAAGGTATTTTCTCCCACCATTCGGCATGCCTTCATGGTGTAACGGTAGCATACTCGGCACATATTTGAGAGGCCCAGGTTCGAGTACCGGCGAGGGCATTGCAAATTTTTCATGTCTCCTGTTTCCAAATAATCTAACGTCTGTACAGTAGCGCCCGAACTAAAAATGTGGTGGATGATGATTCTTCACCACCAGAATTTGGCGATTGAGTTCTCTAATCCTCAGTCGCTCTGTAAAAGGGGAAGTATTTTCTTTCTATTTCTGCATGCCTTCGTGGTATGACGGTTAGCACACTCGGTGCGTATTCAAGAGGTCTTGGTTCGAGTTCTGGTGAGGGCATTGGATATTTTTCATCACTTCTACTTCGAAAAACCTAATGACTCTACAAGGTAACCAAGCTTGCTAAAGGAAGAGTAGAACTTATTTTGCTAAATTGTACGTTAAAGTGCTACAAACTATACATTGTGGGTTGTATGTGAAAGAGCGACGCAATGATAATATTTTGCTTCTTATTAATGTATAATAAATTACTATTCATTTTTAATTATAATTTTCAATTTAATTTGTTTAAATATTTAAGTTATTTAAATCATTTCAATAAATATCATTTTGTATGTTATATGTGTTAACAGTATAAAAACTGTAATTTAATCACTGAGGTTTTAATACTTTTGGTATTGACATACTTTGTATATAATCATGCAGCGTGGAATTGTAAAGTAAGGATTTAAAAACTTTATTTTGCGTAAGTTTACATTATTGACTATTATAATCAAATGCATTCTTTGTACTCATTTTTTTATATAAAAAAGTGTATTCTTTGAAAAGTGTATTGCCGTTGATTACTTAAAATCCACAACACTCAAATATACTTTTTTAACCAGGTGTCAGCAAGTCATCGTTATCGAGTCAAAATATCCACCAAGTGGATTTTGGGAACATCTCTTCATTAGGAATGTCATTCGGCGGCATTAATAACAGCGGAATGGAATCATTTGCCTTCAGTGGTAGTAACCAAAATCTCTCTATCCTTCAAGGTCTTGATGAAGATGTCCAGATCTTGAGCGAAGAATCACCTCCTTCCGAAGTCGAAAAAGCAATGCATCGTTTTAGCTCTAGAATGGCAACGTGTGTTGAAAGACTCAAAGTGGCTACTTCTATTGAAGAAGCGACCACATTATTATCTACGATGAGCGATATGTTTCGTAAAGCTTGGGCAATCCCTAATTATGGACACGATCTAGGTACAACTTTGTGTAATATACTGCGTAACAATGGAGGTCTCAAAATTATTGTCGATAATTGCAGCTCAGAAAACTCTGATTTACAATTCCGCAGTGCAGAATTGTTAGAGCAGTGTCTTTCTACTGAAAACAGAACTTACGTCGTCGAGAATGGCTTGGAGAAAGTAGTAAAGGTCGCTTGTTCCTGCTGTAATAAAAGTTCTGTTTCCCATTCTAGAGTTGGTACTGGGATTTTAGAGCATCTTTTTAAACACTCTGAAGCAACATGCAGTGATGTTATTAGAACTGGCGGTTTAAAAGCCATCATATACAAATGCAGGACCTCAGATGTGGAGACGCTTCGACATTGCGCAACAGCATTAGCTAATTTATCATTATATGGAGGACCTGAAAATCAAGAAGCTATGATCAAACATAAGGTGCCTGTGTGGTTGTTCACTCTTGCTTTTAACAATGATGATAACATAAAGTATTATGCGTGCCTTGCTATTTCTTCTTTAGTGGCCAATAAAGAAATTGAAGCTGCCGTACTCAAATCCGGAACTTTAGACCTCGTTGAACCTTTTGTGACCAGTCATAATCCGGAAGAATTTGCCAAGAGTCATGTAGCACACGTTCATGGACAATCCAAAAATTGGTTATTGAGATTAGTAAATGTTTTAGATAGCAAAAGGGAAGAAGCTAGGAGCCTCGCAGCATTCCACTTTGCCATGGAAGCTGGCATAAAGAAGAAACAGGGAAACACTCAGGTATGTGGCTTTAATGTTATTGATTTTGTTCCATACTTTAATTTTAACTAATGTATGTAATTAAAAAGCAATTAATTATTCCTGAAGATATTCCATGAAGTTGATGCTGTGGAAGCGCTGAAAAAAGTTGCCAGTTCTCCTAATGCTATAGCTTCTAAATATGCAGCACAAGCTTTGCAACTTATTGGTGAAGAACTACCTCATAAGTTATCTCAACAAGTTCCTTTGTGGACGGAAGTAGATGTCAAAGAATGGGTAAAGCAAGTAAGATATATTTATTTCCTTTGAATTTTGATTTGTGGGATGATTCCATGCGTTTACTTTTGAATCTTGGTTTGTATACTGTTTTTACAGTTTCTCTTTTTTAATATGCTGTTAAATTTTTCTAAAACGATCGCCGTCAGTTTCCAATGGTTTTATCAGTGGGCGTTGTAGTAACTCACAGGAAAAGAAGATGGTAACGGTTTGCTTTTATTCTATTTATTGTGGCACGAGACTGTCCGCAAATAATTTACAAATGGATATGTTTCACATGACAATTTTGGGGCGCGTTAAAGTAGTTCGTCGGCAGGTCTCTCCTTTTTATTTTATTCTATTATTGTTATTATTTCCTTGTCTATGCTGATCGTAGATGGATTTCTAGACGAGGAATTTCTGCAGGGGGCAAACATTCAGGCTTCCTAGAATAAAGGCAAATAGCCTTAAACTCATACCTGCTCACTGTTGGCCGTTCTTCGAAGAAAAATTCAGCAACAATTTTTTCGTATGCAGGTGCTGCTCTTGTTAGAGCTGATAACACATTAACTAATACAGTCCTCTCGAAGCTATGCTCCAGGGTTTCGTTCCATAATTTTTAAACGTTTCGGAACACGCCCTGCTTTCCTGTATCTAGTGTGTAAATCTTAATTCAGCCCTTCATTTGTAAGTTGCCCTCTTTCTGGAATTTCTGCTCTGATGTTTTACGAGGCTGGTTAAATTCTTTGACAATCCATGGAATAGAAATAGAAACGTTTTTCGTCACTAGCAACAGGACACGCATTAATATATAACAATAAAGATTGCATTTTAATATGTGGGAACTGTCTTAGGCAGGAAGTGCTCAAGCTCACTAGGAATTTTTACCAAAACTGCCCTTTGAATTAAGCCTCCTATTCTGATCACAGTGGTACGAAAGAGAAGAGTAAGTATCTAGACGTTGGTGAAGGTCTTATACAACATTTGCGGGAAATGAGCAATAGTTGAAAATGTTGCCATGGGTCACTGTATGCTGATGTTACACTTAAGCAGAACTTACCAAAAGGTTAAATTAGCATATTATTTCGTATAATCCACCCTCCACAGTTAAATAACCATTTTCATTCGATAACTACGATCATACATCAAACGATTCCTTGATCGCTTTCTTCTGCGAAAGAAAATTCCTTATTATCCTCCGCCTTGCTTCTGATTGAATAAGTTAACACAGTGCAAGGCTACAAGCACTTTGTAGGATTTTGCAGCAAGAGCCTGAGACTGTATTGCATTATTTGGAGTACAGCGCAAAGCACTTGAGGGCTAAAGGGTGATAAATGGTGCTTCAGGTGGTATGCCTTCATCGATTACTTTATAGACTTTCAAGTCTGGAAAACTGTCCTTCAAATTGGTGCACGAAAGTGCATGTTACACATTTGCTTATTGCTTTTGATATTCTCCAGTATGATGAAACTTAGAGGCACTGATATTCATTTATGTTCTAAGAAATACAAGTTGTTTTCACAAATATGAGAAATTCCTTCTACAGAACAATTTCATTTCGTCAACTATAGCCTTCGAAATACTGAAATTAACCTCTATGCATTTACCGCTATAGAATTAGTGCTGTTATAGTTATATATTTACCGCTGTAGTTGTAACCGTAAAGTTGTTATACATTTAACACATTATAGAATCAGCGACCTGTTATACATTTGCCGTAATTAAATCTAGCGGTAAATGTATTATAGCAGGTAAAGGATTGAAAATTACCCTAAATTAATTATGTTCATTTTAGTATACATGCTGAATAAAAATTTTGTAAGTCAATAAATTAAATTATGATAAAACGAAAATTTATTTTAATTATGTCGGTATAAACTTTTCTTTTATCAAATTATAATGAGTATTCCGATTTGTAATTTACATTCCTGCTAAAAAAAATAAGCAACGAAGTCAACGTACGGAATTAAACAAAAACTATTTATGGGATATTTGTGAAACTGATCCAAGAGGTTGCTGTGACATTACTACACTACACAACAAGCAATAAAGTAAAGTCATACAAAAACACGTGTATTACGACCATCACATCGCGAAAGACCCAACGGGTCGGACGAATATGCAATGAAAACATCACCCTGATAACGAGTACGATACCATCTAGCTGAAATGCATGCATGCTTGACAATGGCGAAGCAAGCTGACAATAGTATCTTTGATCACTTGTTGTGGCAGTAACGCCTATTCCTGTGGTAATGCATGTCGGATCTCGTGGAGGGTGTCTGGCGGCACACTGCAACCTGCTATCCGTCCTTCCAACATGTCCCAAACATTCTTTGTGGGATTCAGGTCCGGTGATTTGGCAGGCTACGGCAGGTGTGGAATGGTTTCATTCTCCAGATAACTCGGCACCACTCGAGCTCTATTCGAGCGGGCGTGTTATTGTCCATAAATATTGCGTTGGAACCCATTACAGGGATAAAAGGACGCATAAGAGGGTGTAGAATTTCGCCGCGATATCGAAGAACTGTGATGGAACTACCAGGAGTCATGTAGACGTCGGTGCGGCCTTTAGTGGCTATCCAGCCCGTACAAGTAAGTCTCCTTCTCTGTCATAGTCACTTTCGACGATGTCTGGCGCCCAATATCGTGTCCATGGCTCTCTCCATATCATTGCTCTTCGGAAATCGTTCTGGCTGTTAAATCCAGACTCATCCATAAAGAGTACATGGCCCCAATGCGATGTTCACGGGCCCTACTCAGCCGCGCTCTGACATGCGATGGGCACAAAGGAAGACGAACCACAGGTCATCGGGCGTACAGTCCACCTTCATGCAGTCGACGCTACACACGACTGCTGCAGAAGCAGAGAAATGCGACATCAGCTGTCATAATATTAGTGATCAGCCGCATCTTGCAGATAGCAACAGGAAGCGATCGTCTGCCGTTAGTGGTAATCCTCTGGCGTCTAGATCCACGTCTTCTACATGAGTTTTGATTCCTTTGGTAACGGATTCTGCTATCTTGATGACACTACGATGCACATTCAGCTCTCTCTCAACAGCGGATTGTCTTGCACCAGCTTGTAACACCTCGACAGCCCTCCAAACCATTTCATCCTGCATATTGTGCCTTTGGCTCATGCTTTCCGCTTTGGCATTCTCAGATTGTATGGAACTATCGCTGCTTGCGAACTGACGCATAGGTCCAGCATACCCCATTTTAGGGCTTTGTGGTCTGACTGCAGGATTGCGTTTTATGCTAATATTGGTTAACCATTTGCATTCGACGATGCAACCTCTACCTCATATGTAAATTCTATGTTTTAATTTCTCTTTTTACATTCGTACCTTTTCTTTTAGTGCTTATTGCTTATTTTTTTAGGACGAATGTATTTAAAATAAAAGTAGTCAACACTTGAGGTAGGTACTTGAGGCAGTATTTGTTTTAAGATAGGCAGAATAAGGTATTAATGAGGTGCATTTTAAACCGAATCTTAATAATTAACACTGAATAATTAAAATTTACCAAATTAATGCATAATAAAAAATTTAGATAATAAACCGACTTCGAAACAAATATGTCAATTACAATTATTGAGGTATTTCAAATCTGTTACTTGATAAATAAAAGTGATAAATTTCAAATATCTGAATTGTTTGGAGCATAAAGCTTCCAGCTTCCTACCACAACTTTCTCCAAAAGTAATGATTTTTTCTTTCAAATTCTTAGCAAACTTAGGAAATAATGAGAAGCAGTTGAAAAGGAATTTTCGCTGTGGTCGTGATAAAACTAAAACATATGCAAGTTATTCCAAGAAATACTATTTTTAAATAAATTTGTGACGTTGTATGTTTACTAAGTGCGTATCGTTTGGAGAATTCTTACGCTTCGGCGACTTGAATCTTCTACCAATATTTTAATTCTCTCGAGTATTCAAATTAGGGATTAATCTTTCCTTGAAAGTTCGCTGTCTTTCGTATTTCTTAGAAAGATTTTATCATAGTCTCGTGGAAAGATATTGCTTTAATTATGCTACGTAAATCTTTCTATTCCATTTGAGATTCTTGTAAGAAAAATGGCGGAAAAACATAATAATTTTTCTTATACTTCCTATTATGCGCAAGGAAATTGATTCAAATACAATTGATTTATGAGAAAAGATGAGGGATTAATATGATTGTTTTTCAGAGGCAGAAAATAAAAAGCACTTCTTGACGTCAGTTTTTATAAAATCAGAATTTACTCGCCTATTTCCTTCCCTTTATTTTACTAATTTTGTCGTCCAAAAATCAAGTGGGGAAAAACTGTGTGAATAATTTAATTTCTGAAAGACAAAGTTACGGTAGGAACATAAAAAATGAAAAGTAGTCATGAATAAACTACAGGTATCTATCACAATATTATTTCTTGAAAAGAAACCTACATTCCAATAAGAATACATAGTAATATTAACATTACTATATCTAATAAGATATATTCATTTCTAAGTCCCTGTAACTTGATATCACCGTTCTTATTATTCTCTTTGCTACTCTTTAGGCCTCAAATCATGCATAAATAATTAGAGAAAGTAAATGTGCAACTAACTAAGCGAAATCGGAGACTGAATGCCAGTTCGTGTTTGCTTTGCTGTCATTAGTCGTTCTTGTATCAGACTGGCATAAAGTTCCACAGTTAGAAGGGAAAGGTTCGGCGTGATATTCGCATGTAGTTTTACTTTGTTAGTAAGACGAAAATAATCATTAAGTGGGCGACTCTATTTTAAAACTTAGGGGAGCTGAACTCATTAGGAACGGGAAAATAACGTGAATAATTTAAAAATTTTTCAGAATCTGGTTGTGAAAAGTTAGGGGGTGAAATATAGGAAATACGATATATGTATTCCTAAACTAATGGCTTTTGTTGATTCTGATTTGGTTTGGGTTTGGTTTATTTAATTGCGGCAAAGCACTTGAGAGCTATCTGCCTAAGGGGAGGGATGCCTTTGTAGAGGATTTTCTAATGGAAACTGGCTCATATACACGTTA